AACTCCTCTGGTTTTCAATGTCCTCTTGGGCCATATTAAACCCAAGGCAAGCATTCTTTTAGCATTTGTTCTGTGACAACAGTTACCTTAGGTGCTGTGCCTGGAATCCAGACCATCTGGTAAGTGATCCGGTGTGGATGGACAGAGGAAGAAGCACCCACGTCCAGTAGCCTGAGTACTAGTCTAGGCACTTCCACTGATTAGTTTTCCCTGACCTTGTGTCTTCATCTACAAAACAGAGAAAATAATAAGACTTTTTATTTAGTCCTGACTGCAGGAGATCAAACTAGTCAACCCAAAAGGAAATCAGTCCTGAATATTCATTGGAAAGACTGATGCTGAAACTGAAGTTCCAATACTTTGGCCACCTGATGCAAAGAACTGACTCGTTAGAAAAGACCCTGATGCTGGGAAAGACTGAGGGCAGGAGGAGAAGGGGGCAGCAGAGAATGAAATGGTTGGATGGCATCACCGACTCAATGGACATGAGTTTAAGCAAAAGTGAAGGACAGGGAAGTCTGGTGTGCTGCAGTCCATGGGGTCACAAAGAGTCAGACACAACTTAGCGACTGAACAACAACAACTTAAATGCCAAAACTAAACTATTTGAAAAAACTATAGTATGTACATTAAAAATAGAGTATCATCCGTCTGTATAATAAATAAAGAAGATTTAAATGAACTGTATAAGGTGATTTTCAGGATGTATTGTTAGGTGAAAAAAGCAAATATACACACAACAAATAGATAACCTGGTGAGAAGAGGGAGAGACATTTCAACTGATAAATGTACATAGAATGACAGATGGAAAAATCACTGATTTGCAACCATCATGGTAAAGATTGGCTTGTGAAAAACTCATCAATGGATGCTTAACCTAGAGGGACATTTCAAAGAGGAGTAAGATATTTGCATAGTCTTAAAAGCACCTTTTTACAGAATGGTTATTGGCTGCAAACAGAAAAATTGTTATTATACAGTGCAGTAGCACACACATCACTGGGAGATAAATTAGTGTCACCAATGAAGGACAAATGGATTTCATGTGCCTCCAAATACAATACCCCAAGAAAACATAATGTCTTTTTGTAGCGTTCTAGCTGGGCTTGCACTGTCAGAACTAGCCAGGAGGAAGCATCAGATAAACCCAAACTAAGGCACAGTCTATGAAATAACTGGCCTGTATTCTTCAAAAATTTCATTGTCATAAGAGACAAAGACAAGCTGAGAAACTGTTTAGATTACAGGAGATCAGAGTCCTTGACAACTAAGTGCAGCACATGATGTATTTTTATTGGAGCAGGAAAAATTGCCAAGAAGGACAGTATTGGGCTAACTGACCAAACAGAATATGGCCCATACCAATCTTAATATTCCTGAATTCACTTTTCCTGGATAGACCTATGAACTCTCATGAGATTCTAGTGTCCTATGAAACACAGTTTGGGGAATGTATAAAGCAAGCTCAAATCTTTGCAATGCATACTATTGGGTCTTAGAAGCCATTTTTTAGTCTAGTGAATTTTGTAAGGGGTGATGGCCCTTGCAGGAATACTCTGAGTATATCTTGATTTCTTTTTTTGAACTTTAGGAACTGGTGCAGCAAAGACAGTGCTGAGACTGAGGGCAGGTTTGTCCTCAGCAGATCTTTGAGGAAAGGTCTGATAGCAAACATTGAGGGTATATGGACTCAGAAAAAATTTTAATTAATAAAATTTGTTCAGTTCAGTTTAGTTCAGTTCAGTCGCTCAGTCATGTCCGACTCTTTGCGACCCCATGGACTGCAGCATGCCAGGCTCCCCTGTCCATCACCAACTCCCAAAACTTGCTCAAACTCCTGCCCATCAAGTCAGTGATACCATCCATCCATCTCATCCTCTGTCATCCCCTTCTCCTCCCATCTTCAATCTTTCCCAGCATCAGGATTTTTTCAAATAAGTCAGTTCTATGCCAAAGTACTGGAGTTTCAGCTTCAGCATCAGTCCTCCCAATGAACACCCAGGACTGATCTCCTTTAGGATGGACTGGTTGGATCTCCTTGCAGTCCAAGGGACTCTCAAGAGTCTTCTCCAACACCACAGTTCAAAAGCATCAATTTTTCAGCGCTCAGCTTTCTTCACAGTCCAACTCTCACATC